GTAGAATAGGAATCATATGATTATCTCAATGGATGTAGTAAAAGCACTCGACAAAATACAGCACCCCTTCATATTGAAAATACTAAAAAACTAGGGATAACAGGAATGTATCTCAACATGGTAAAAGCCATTTATGCTAAGCTCCAGGCCAACATCATTCTAAATGGATAAAAATTGAAAGCATTCTCTCTAAAAATGGGAACAAGACAGGGATGCTCTCTTTCACCACTTCTATTTTGTCAATTTTTAATTGGCTTTATTTATGGTTTTATGCCTTGCAAAACATTTTCAATTCCTATGTAGAAAATGTGTCATGGTTAAGATATTTCCTATCTCTTGCCAGGCATGGTGGCACACACTTATAATCCTGTGGACTCAGGACGTTGAGACAGGAGGATGGCAAATTCTAGGCTAACCTCAGCTACTTAGTCAGACCCTGTCTCAAAATAAAAAGGACTGGGGATGTATCTCCATGGCAGAACGCCCCTTGGTTCAATCCCCAGTACCAAAAATAAAAGGGTATGTAGTTTGGTGGAAAAACCCCTGAGTTTGATTCCCACTACTGCCCAAACTTAAAAAACCTCTCCTAAGAGTCTTTTGTAAATGTAATTTGGAGATTTTGTTACAATATTTTTATTTTACATGTTAAAATTTTTATGTCTTTAGTCCATCTGGCATTTATTTTTTAACATAGCATAAGATAGCATTCCAATTTTACTTTCTTCCAGATGGATAGCCAGTTGTGTTATTCCTATTTTCCTACTGAGTACAACTACCATCATTGTCATATCTTACATTCTATCATCTATACTGGGATTGTTCTGTTACTAACCTGTTTGTGTTTTCCTCTCTCAATACTCTTTTGACTAAAGAGGCTATGATTTATGTTCTGATACTTTGTGAAGCAAGTCTTTTCTATTTCCTATGAATTACTTGACTATTCTTTCAATTTTAATCTTCCACAAAAGCCTTAAAATCATTTATCCAATCTCATCACCACCACTATCTTATAAGGTTATGTAGTGATTCTAATTTGAATTCATTAATTGACATTGAGTGTGTAAATTGAAAATTGTTATTATATCTTCACAACTAAGAATAATGGGATGTCTTTCTACCTGTTCAGTAAAGACTTCAGATATGCCTTCATGTGAGTCTTGTGCCTTTTTTATTTTATTCCCAGATTATCTTAGAGTACTCACAAGGTAAGTGGAGGATTTTTTTGTTTTTTGTTTTTCCATTTGGTTCAATAGAGAAAAAACATTGATAAATTTTCTGTTCATCTACCTGTTGAGTTTTGATGATTTCCAAAAATGCATATTTTAGATTTCTAAATATACAGTAAAAATGTTTCACCTCTTTGATTTCAGTGTCTATGGAAGCTACCAGTTGTCTTGATTTTGTTTTTATATGTGGTAGAAATATTAAGACAGTGTCAGATTTGATGATGGTGATAATTAAATTCCTTCTCTAATTCCTGATTTTAGTTAAAATGATTTTAGCTTTTCAATCTTTGGGGGAAATATGCTATTTATTTTTTATAAATAATTTTTCTTTCTTTCTTTTTTTTTAAATTCTTTGTTGGAATTTGTTGGTGGTGGTGGTGATGGTGCTGAGGAATTGAACCTAGGGGCACTGTACCATTGAGACATATCTCCAGCCCTTTTTATTTTTTGAGACAGAGCCTTGTTTAGTTGCTGAGGCTGCCTTGAACTTTCAATCTTCCTGTCTCAAGTCTTCTGAATTGCAGGGATTACAGGGATGCACCACTGTGAGCAGCTTAAGGTTGGAATTTTTATTAGGAATGTCTACTGAATTTTATTAAGAGCTTTTTCAGCATTTCATGAACATTATTTTCTTTCATTTGTTGATGCAGTGCATAGTTCATCAACATGATAGACTTGATATTGTTTACAGTTGGCTTCATGTAATAAATTTCTACAAAACAAGTACCTCTAACTAAATTCTTTGTGTTCTTTTCTTTCTGATCTTTGGCCAGGAGCTCTTCAGTCCTGATCTTTAGATGATACTAGTAAGACTCGAATGGAAGCCTCTTAGCTCCAGTTGCCAGTTATCCTAGGGTTTGGTGACTTATGTTAAGTTGGAGTTGAGAATAAAGACAAAGGAAGGCATTTTCTATTTCCAGAATCCTCCTGTTCCTTCTTTGTTTTGTTTTGTTGTTGTTGTTGGTTTTAGTTTTTTTTTTTTTTTCTTTTGAGAGATAGAGAGAATTTATTTATTTTTTAGTTTTCAGTGGACACAATATCTTTATTTGTATGTGGTGCTGAGGATTGAACCCAGGCCGCTCGCATGCCAGGCGAATGCGCTACCGCTTGAGCCACATCCCCAGCCCCAAGTTTTTTTATTTTATGTAAGTATGTCTTTCTGTTCCTTTTAAGTCAGTGTTTAGTAGGCAAAATTTACACCAAACTACTTCTACAACAGATTTTTTCCCCCAGCTCTTTTTATTTTTAAGACAAGTTCTTGTTAAGTTGCCCAGGCTGACCTGAAACTTGGGATTCTCCTGTCTAAGCCTCCCAAGTAGCTGGAATTGCAGGCTCACACCACTGTGCTGGGCTCTGAAACCTTTTTAATAATGAGAAAATAATGAAATATCAATGTATCTTGATGTTTTTCCTTCCTTCCATCCTTTTGGCCTTTTTTTCTGAAACTAATCTGCATTGTTTTCTTCAGTGATTGTCAATTTCAGTGGAAGGAACATTTTTGCCATGAAGCTTTTATTCAGAACCTAAACTAGTAGCAAGCTCATATAATCAATATTTACATTTCTAATTGTTTATTCAAAGGAGACTATAAAGGCCCAGATGCATTTTTACAAGTCTGGAAAAATAAATTATTAGTTATGATTTCATTATCAAATTATTAGTTATGAGTTCATTATCAAATTATTAGTTATGATTTCATTATAAAGCAGATTGATTTACTAGGCAGTGATTAAATAATACTTACTCACAGGAACCTGCCTGTGGATGCCCAACAATAAAAGGGGATTGATTTATCAAGAACAGTGCTGGATGTAAAGTTTGAAATCCTGAGTACTAGTCTTAGTGCTCTATCTAGCTTCCTTGAACTCAGATGGGGTTCTGTACCTATGACCATTCATTTCCTCTTCTCTAAAATGAGGTTCCTGAAGTAAGTGGTTGATCCTTCTTTAAACTTTAACATTGTGGAAAATCAGATACTATTGGTCCTCTGTATCCACAGATTACATATTTGTGGGTTCCATATCCCCAAATTTAACCAACTAGAGATTGAAAGTGTTAATTGAAAAAAGTTGCTTCAGTACTGAATATTTACACACACTTTTTTTCTTGACAATATTTTTTAAACAACATAGTAGTTAAATAGCATCTACATTATATCAGTTTTACAAGTAATCAGGATACAGGAAGATTATGTAGGTTAAATGCAAATACTTCACCCTTTTTATAAGGAACCTGAGCATCTACAGATTTTGGTGTCTGACACAGTTCCCAGAACTAGTCTCCCTTAGATACTGAGGGACCATTGGAGTGTTTGAGCCCTGCCCCAAAATACAGGCCATGATTCCAGTGTTTCACAGCTGAGTTATTTTTTTTTTTAAATACATGACAGCAGAATGCATTACAATTCTTATTACTCATATAGAGCACAATTTTTCATATCACAGCTGAGTTCTTTTGCTGTCTGGTTCTATAGGAAATTAGGTTGTTGTGAACTTTCTGGTGCATTGCATGCTCCAATAGAGCAATTAACTATAGTAGATCCCTTTAAAGTTTTATTTGTGAAAATAATTTTAAACCATGGTGTCTCTATGAAGTCATTTCTCCTCTAGGGAGTTCTTGTAAGTAATGTCTGTCTAGGGAGCTTTAAAGGGTTTTTGTTTTTTTGTTTGTTTGTTTGTTTTGGGGGGGAGTGTTTGTTTGGTACTGGGGATTGAACCCAGGGACACTTAACCCAATGAGACAGAGTCTCATTGAGTTGCTTTTAGTTTTTCTAAGTTGCTTAGGCTGGATTTGAACTCGTGATCCTCCTGACTCAGCTTCCTGAGTCACTGGGATTACAGGTATGACCACCACACCTGACATAAAAGGTTTTGAACTTACTGGAATGTAAATGTAGAGCTGGGCTTGTAGCTTAGTGGTAGAACATTGGCCTAGTACATGTGAGGGCACTGGGGTTGATCCTCAGCACCACATAAAAATAAATAAAATGAAAATATTGTATCCATCTACAACTAAAAATGTATCTTTAAAAAAAAAAATGTCGGGGCTAGAGTTGTAGCTCAGTGATAGAGCACTTGCCTTGCATGCATGAGGCCCCGGGTTTGGTCCTTAGCACCACATAAAAATAAAGATATTGTGTGTGGGAGACCAACCTTACTTCTGTGTGTGTGTGTGTGTGTGCTTTTTGTATATCAGATTGGGGAACATTTTCTTTATTTTTATCTTGAAAAACTGATTTTAAAGTTTCTTGAAACTGGTGAATATCCAGTGAATCATGAGAGAGAAAATGCTGAATATTTAACTGTTCAGCTAGAACTTCTCATGCAGCTGAATTATGATTTCTCACTTGCCATATACAGTTAACACACTTCTTCTTTAATATTCTTTGTTCCTTGGAAAAATGCTAAAAGAAAATAGGAATTTCCCATTATTGCCTTTGTGGAAATGTATTCATATCTAATTCCTGACTCGCTGCCCTGGCTACTACCCGTTTTCCTTGCTACCAATTTTCCTTGCTTTTCTGCTTAAGAGAGGGATTCCAGACAGACGAGGAAACAGCTTTTAAATGCTGCACTGCGGGTGTACTAAGCCATTCCCCCACTGTGCAGTCTGGAAATCCAGGAGCACCTCTCTGGCAATGCATTCTAATGAGTTGCTAAAGATGCCAGAGCATGTGCATGCATTTTCTTTCCCCTCCCCCTTTCTTCCTTTTTCCAAGCCCCCTCTTCTCCCTGTTTCCCCTCCTTCTCCTTTATCCCCTCCCTCTGTGTCTCAGTTCTGCAGTACACAGGAGGGAAGCACACTCCTGCATTGCAAGGCTTTCTCTTAAGGAAGTATTGTGGCTTTTGTTTGGATTGCAGCGTGCAGACTTACAGGTAACACTGAAATTGAGTTAAACAGTTATATTCTATTAAATTGTTTTCAGATGTAAAATATTACATTGGATTTCATGGAAAAAATAAGTGAATCTTGGCTAATTTTACTAGTGGTGATTGTAATGAAATGTTTTCAGAATTACCATAAGCAGATTCTATAAACAACTCAAATGAAAGAAAATGGGGGTAGATTGATCTGTGATTGCTTTTGTTTTATGTTTATCTTGAAAGCTTGGTGTGGTGTTGCTTCTCTTTAGAGTAAGGACCAGTTATGTGGGGTGTTATTGATTGTAGCCATGGTAGTGATATCAGAAGGGGTGGAGTGGGAAGGGTGACAGCAGCCTGGGCTAGCTAGGTTCTTCGATTTAGGGCACTGGATGCAAATGTAAATTGCTTTCTCCTTTTCTTCTATCAGCTGTTCAGAGGAGACTCATTACAACTCCTGCTGAAGCTCCTAATCTTCCTCCCTTCTTCTAGCCCTTTTCTCTACCCTAACTTGGCCTGAAGACATTGTCCCCAAAATTTACCTTTCTCCCTTGGTGCTATATGTATGGTGAACTTGGCACTATGGCCTCGTCTGGGACTGGCCAGACGATGGCTCTTGGCTCTCCCTATTCCAAGAAGGATTTAAAGGGAAATTGCACTGCAGGCAATGCATCAGAGCAGCAGCATCGGGAGCTTGGGGACTGAGGCTCTTCTGGCAGTATTATACACATGCACAGCTGACCGCAATGACAGCAGCTGCTCCTTTGAACTGTTGGCAGCAGCCAAGCGGCAGCATGAAGTGAGAGATCACTCCTGAGCTCAAGATGAACTCCACCTTGGATGGTAATCAGAGCAGCCACCCTTTTTGTCTCTTGGCATTTGACTACTTGGAAACTGTCAGTTTTTGCCTTTTGGAAGTGCTGATTATTGTTTTTCTAACAGTATTGATTATTTCTGGCAACATCATTGTGATTTTTGTATTTCACTGTGCACCTTTGTTGAACCATCACACTACAAGTTATTTTATCCAGACAATGGCATATGCTGACCTCCTGGTGGGGGTAAGCTGCTTGGTCCCTTCTTTATCACTCCTTCACTATTCCCTACCATTAGAGGAGTCCTTGACTTGCCAGATATTTGGCTTTGCAGTATCAGTTCTGAAGAGTGTCTCTATGGCTTCTCTGGCATGTATCAGCATTGATAGATACATTGCCATCACTAAGCCTTTAACGTATAATACCCTGGTTACACCCTGGAGACTACGCCTGTGTATTTTCCTGATTTGGCTATACTCCACCCTCATCTTCCTGCCTTCCTTTTTCCACTGGGGCAAACCTGGATATCATGGAGATGTCTTTCAGTGGTGTGCGGAGTCCTGGCACACAGACCCATACTTCACCTTGTTCATCGTGATAATGTTATATGCCCCAGCAGCCCTCATTGTCTGCTTCACATATTTCAACATCTTCCGCATCTGCCAACAGCATACAAAGGAAATCAGCGAAAGGCAAGCCCGCTTCAGCAGCCAGAGTGGGGAGACTGGGGAAGAACAGGCCTGTCCCGATAAGCGTTATGCCATGGTCCTGTTCCGCATCACTAGTGTATTTTATGTCCTCTGGTTGCCCTATATTATCTACTTCTTGTTGGAGAGTTCCACTGGCCACAGCAACCGCTTCGTATCCTTCTTGACCACCTGGCTTGCTATTAGTAACAGTTTCTGCAATTGTGTCATTTATAGTCTGTCCAACAGTGTCTTCCAAAGAGGACTTAAACGCCTATCAGGGGCTGTGTGTACTTGTGCAAGTCAGACCACTGACAAGGACCCTTATACAGTTAGGAGCAAAGGCCCCCTTAATGGATGTCATGTCTGAAATGGCTCAGTCACTAGTTCACTAGGAAATCGGGGACAGAATAATTTGACTAAGCAATAGCACACAAGTGATCTATCCAAATATCTTTTTTTTAAGTTTGCATGAAATTTTTTCCTAAATGTGATTTTGAATCAGAAGAATCAGGATCATGAGGATAAATTTCTCTTGTTCCAGTTTTTGAAATGTCATGGAAATGACTACATTTCTCAGATTTAAAGGAATAAAGCCATACCTAACACCTCTCTCCAGCTGGCGTGACTGAACCTGGGTGTGAAAAAGCGTCAGCATTTTAAAAGTCATCATTCTCTTGTCACTTTTCTAGATTCTTTCCAGCATTTGGACTTCCTGTGCAATTGATATCTTTCAACAGGGAATATTAAAATATACTGATAAATTAATAGGGATTTAATTTTTTTTATCTGTACACTGCAAGTTTCAACACTGTCATTTAGACAGCCAAATGTTTTGCATTATATTCTCTTGAGAGAACTCTTAATGGGGTGAATAATGTGAACAATTAAACATTACTTTTAAAATTTTGCAATGAACCACAGAAGTAAAAGTGCAACCAACTCATAGTTCATGAAAAACTGAGCTACTTTTTTGTGCTATGCTTCACAGAGATTTTGATACATGTGCATATAAGTAATTGATGCAATATTTTTGCCCAGGTGTTTGTGTATATTGAGAATATTTGAGTTGAGTTAGATTTCTCTTTCATGACAAAATGTATTTCAGTGAGCTAAAATTAATTGCAAGTATAGTTGATAACGGTGAAAATATATAAAAATGTGACTTTAGTGTTTTTTGTTCTTTTTTATCCAAAGACTTTTGAAATATTAGAACAGCAAGCAGAAGAGTGCCATAGGTAATCAAGTCAAAATATACTATTGGCTGGAGGTAGGGCTCAGTGGTAGAGTACATGGTCAGTATATGCAAAGCCCTGAGTTCAGTATCCTGCCCAGGGAGTGGGGTAAATATGTATGTGTACACGCACTGTAATATACTCATTTTTTAAAATGGAGTTAATTGACATATTTTCTTCGTGGTTAAATAGAATCAACTAATACAGTAAAAACTAATTTTGGAAAGCATTCTTTCAGTGTTAAAGAATCCACGTTGAGTGAAGGAAGGGGAGATTCTGGTTAATCTGAATCTCTTTTATTGCTTTTTTTTTTACTGGAGAAAAAATCTTTTGGCATACAGTTTTTTCTTTAAGTCTTTTTTTCATTTTTGTTTTTCTAACACACTGGCAAAATCTATAGGATTTTATCATCATTTTCTAGAATTATTATCAGAATGGTATGTGTTTGTGTATAGTATCATGTTTTGTTCTTAAAAATGATTATCTTTAAAGCAAGAAGTTTACTTTTCTAAAAGGAGAGAAGGATTTCTGGCAGCTCTAGGCATAAAATATTTCCTCAGACGACTTATTTGATCTCTGCCTTTGGCTAAATGTTGGTATCTGAATGCAGCAGTGGTGTTCAGGGAGATGGAAGATAGAAGAAACCCAAGGGACGTGGTCTAAAGTGGATTTCTGAATCCAAGAAAGGACATGGATATTTATAAAACAGGCAGATATGTTTTAGTTTTCCATCCTGATGTTAGAAATCCCTTGCCCTTTTAAAATAAAAACCAACATTTGTTTGATTTTAGGTTCAGTTAAAATCAGTTTGATTTTAACCTCAAATGTCTTCTCTTTAAACTTTTTTTTATTTTAAGTGACTATTATATAAACATTCAAGCATCAGATTCTCAGTTCTTCTCAAAAGCTTACTGGCTCTTTATATTTAGTGTTAGCAGATTTGATTCTAAGCTATTTCAGAATTTAGAACTCATACTGAAATTGCAAGTTAGGTTTAGGAATGACTTTGTTGAATTGCTGTTTCACGTGGAAAACCTTTACTGCTGGATTCTGAAAAATAGTTTTTATCATACATATTTCATATTTGTTAAAATGGTACAGATGTAAAAAAAAATTACCTTTTTTCATATCTGCTAGAGAATGTAACCTATTCAGATTTGCAGTTTGCTTATGAATTTTTTGTTCAGTAAATATGGGAATCTTAAAGACTTATATAGAAAATTGATGTTAAATCAATGGATTTTACTTTCTTAAGATCAAAGGAACTGGGCCTTTTTAATTTTTTGCTCTGATAGGTGTTCATTTTGTAAAAAGAAAATACCTATTTACATTTTTTGGTAATGGCTAACCAATGTGGTTTTGTTTGTTTGCTTGTTTTGGTACTGGGGGCTGAACCAAGGGGTGCTTAACCACTGAGCCACATCTCTAGCCCTTTATATATTTTATTTAGAGAGAGGGTCTCACTAAGTTGCTTAAGGCTTCTCTAAGTTGTTGAGGCTGGCTTTGAACCTGCTATCTTCCTGCCTCAGCCTCCAAGTTGCAGGGATTACAGGCATGTGCCAGTAGGCCTGGCCAATCTGTTTTTTTTTTTTTTAATGATTGCAAAGACAGTTCTTTTAATAAGATCTTTTTTAAGTAGATATTTTCATTATTTTCCTAGTTCCAAATTTGGATTTTATTAGACAGTGTTTTTAAGCATTAGAATATCTGTTAATATCTGAGTCCAACAAAAGTGGAAGCAAAGTAGATTAGTAATTTTTAAGAAAAATAAAAAGTGTCCTTCCCCACCTGATGCTTTTTTAATAGCAGTTATCTTTCCAGTTTTTCTTGTCTTCAGGGAAACCTAAGATTTCTTCCAGGTATCAGCTCTTTTATTCTCACATTCATTTTCTGTACTGCCATTTGTTCATTTTGGTTTTTGTTTTGTTGTATGTGCATGTATTGGGTGAGGGGGGCCAATAGGTTCATAGTTCCAGTCTTCAGTGGTGTGATTACTTTCTGCATGATATTTTGGGAGTTTATCAATGAAGCATTTAATAACATTTAGTTTAAATACCAAACCAACTAGTTCAGAATGAGAAAACAGTATATTTTTAGACTCAAATACTTTGAATAGCTCATTTCACTTAATATGGTATAAGACTAGTAGCAGAGGACTTATTTAAATAAGTTTATATCAGAGGAATACTGTTAGAGATTGTATTGGAAATTATTTCATAGTAAATTTTAAAATAAGATTATACTGTTTTATTTGTAAATGAGTTATATGTTTTAATGCAGTGATTTCAATGAAGATGTGTTTTTTCCTTATAGACATAAAAAGCAATTATAAGTGAACTAGTGCTCCACTTTAGTAAGAACATTATCTTATACCAGAATTGATAATTGAATTTTTAAATTTATTCTTTTATTTTTTATAGTGGGGTTAATTTTTATTTATTTATTTATTTTTTCAGTTGTAGATGGACACAATACCTTTATTTTATTTATTTTTATGTGGTGCTGAGGATCAAACCCAGTCCCTCGTGCATGCCAGGCAAGCACTCTACTGCTGAGCCACATCCCCAGCCCAATAGTGGGGTTCATTTTGACATAATCATAAATGCATGTAACATGGCTTGAGCATTCTCATCCAGTCCACAGAACCTCCCCTTTTCCTCTCCTCCCTCCCCCTTGATTCCCTTCCTCTACTCTACTTGTCTTCCATCTATTTATTATTTTTTACATTGGTCATTATAGTTAATACATAAAAGTGGAATTCATTATGATGTACTCATAGATGCAATATAGGATAAGTTGATCAATTTTGTTCTGCATTTGCTCCCTTTACTCATTCCTCCTCCCTTCCCCTGGATCTACTCCACTGTTCTACTTTTTGTTTTCCTGATATCCTGCTCTCTCCCCACCTTTTTTTCTTTAATTTCTCTCTAGCTTCCATGAATATTTGAATTTTTCATGATCCTGTTGACTCTTACCCAGAATTCTATCTTGGTAAGAGTTTTGGAAAAGGTTTACTTTAAGCCTTATTGCTTGATAAATTCTTTTTTAAGTCTTTTATAATGACTTTTCATTTGTACTTGAATAATGTATCTCATTATTTCAAAACTTGGGAAAACTTGAATTTTCATACCACAAATGCATTGTCTATCTCTTTGAAATTGAAAATTCAAGTGACACAGGCTTCCAGATGGTAGAATGATTTTGGAAAGAGTTTACTCAGCTTTTTAGGTTTATTTGAAAATTTTACACAGTGACTTTGTAGGAAATATCTTAATTTCATTGACTTTGTGTTTCTGTATCATAACAGATTTGTGAAATAAATTATTGACAAACCAGAATTTATTGTTATATGAGCAGATTTTGGAAGGCTTAAGGATGGGAGAAGTGGGGTACTGTGACCTTTTTAAAAAGTGTTCATAAGTCTTTTTGTGATTTTATTTTTGCATAATTTGTCTATTTCAGGTTGAGGAAAACTAAATATTTATTAAATGCATATTGTAATTATTTTCCAGATCCTAGAAATACTGTAGATTCTTCTTATGGCTATAAATGAGTCATTTGACCTTTCATAGTTTGAGTGACAAGGGGCATCATGATAGGATTAAAAAGTTAAATTTGAAAATCTATGTTTATCTTACTGTTTAGTTCATTAAGCTTAGTAAGTAAGCACTTAATTTCTTCCTGAAAAGAAACTAATGGTCCTTTAATACCTTATAGGATTACTTACTTAGAGGATTAAATTCAGATAATGAATATAAAAGTACTTTGAAAATTGTAAAGTGATTTGCAGATAAAACTGATTACTGCTATTTGTATCTGCCATGCTTTTACAAGTAAGGACATAATAGCTATATGTCATGATGACCTTTCCCACATTAAAATCTTTGAAGCTCAATGGTAAATCGTACTCCATGCTATTTAGCAATTTCCAGACCTGAAAAAAGAGACAAAAATAAAATTCTCATCTTTTAAAAATGATAGTAGCCTTAAATTCAACATATTGTTACTAGACTCCTCATCCAGAGACCTGACGGCAAACCGGGGTTCCAGCAAACCAGGTTCAGTCACTATAAACACCAAACAGAAAAGGTAATGATGAAAAGCAGGAAAACAAATGTGAATCAGTATGGCTCTGTGGGGAAGGCAAGT